CTCTCTCTCTCTCTCTCTCTCTTTCTTTCTTTCACTTTCTCTTTCTCTCTTTCATTCTTTCTCTCTTACTTTCCCTTTCTTTTATTACTTTTCTCTGAGAGTGTACCTTTTTAAGGTTGTTTCTTTTTACGTCATCCCCCTACCCCCAATCGACACAATCTAGATCATTTCGGAGCCGGGCCTCAACCCTTTCCTTCATCAAGAAATTGCAAGCTGAGAGGAATATAACGTCTTTGTAGAAAAAAACAACAACTGATACACACGATAAAAAATCTTCTTCACTCGACTGTTAAGCGGATTGCCGCTACTCTAAAGACGGCAGTTGCTACCATTGGAGCGTTTGGTTGTATAGTTATGAAATTACAACAGCTTCGTGAGTGACCTACATTGGGGGTCACTAGAATTACTACCATTACCAAACCCTTTTCACCACAAATCCTGATGGACCAAAAAGATAGATGCTCTACATTATCATAACTCGCAACTGCGACAGATATAATGATATTTGTTCTGAATCTGGGCTGAATGTCAATGTACTGGAACAGCCCCACCTAAAAACGAACCCGCCTCCCTCATACCACTAACCGCCCCTCCCCCGACACACAAAGATAAACGTACGTAAATTCTCATTATGTTACTCGTACCAGGGAGAAGCATGTAAAATGTCAGGTAGAGGTGGAGCACAATTTCTAAGCCTAACATAACCCTAACCCTAAAACTAACCCTAACCCTAAACCCAAACAATGATCCTCTACCCTATCCTTAACCCTAACAAAAGTCTTAACCCTAACCTTAACCCTAACAAAAGTCTTATCCCTAACCTTAACCCTAACAAAAGTCTTATCCCTAACCTTAACCCTAACAAAAGTCTTATCCCTAACCTTAACCCGAACCCTAACCTGGTTGCAAAAATGGTGTAATTTTTTCAACATGTGATTTGTTCCATAATATTATTATTATTAATTGCGCTAAAAACTGTTCCATACGCATAATATCACCATAAGAAGACGTTTGAGGGATGAGGGTTTTTTTTTTTTAAGCGCTATTGTCCCTGCTCATGAGATGTCGAAAAAATTGATTGCGGTTTTTATTACAGTTTGTTCTGGAATTTTCTAAAATATGTTGCTCAGGTATTTATGACCATATTCTATCATCTGTTGAGACAAAACGATATGAGTCATTTCGCAAAAGATGTTCGATACTTCAAATAGATATTTGAAAATAAGTTGCATTACAAATTGTTGACAG